CTTTCTTTATACAGCAGCTGCACTGTCACTTCAAGCTATTTTTACCCACTCTGTCATTCCTCAAGACTCCCGCAGCCCACTTCAGATGTCCAGCTCAATGGGACTATCCTAGCAAAGCTCCCCTCTTCCTTATCTGGCATCACTTGCCCTTCTGTACATTTACCTCTGGAGTGCCTCCCACTACCCTCCCTCTTTCTTCCATTTACAAGTCAATTTCTCAGTAGCATCAGCCCGAAAAAAAACGTTAGAATTGTAGAATTTCACAGCACACAAGGTGGCCATTCCATCCATTTTTTTGCACTGGCTCCCAAAGATCTACACAGACAGTACCGCGCTCCAGTCCTTTCTCCATAGCCTTCTAACTTCATCACTTCCAAACATATATACAACTTTCCTTTGTTCTACATATACATAGATGGCACCCAGCTTCAACTCACTGCTATCTCTCTCAACTTCTCGAGTTCAGCCCTGTTGAACTTCTCAACTGACATGCAGTATTGGACAAGCCATGGTTTCCTCCAATTAGTACCGAGGGACACAAAACTATTTTGCTTGACTTTCACCACAAATACATTCTCAGGACTGATTTCACTCTCAGCCCGAGTGTGTTTTGGCTGAATTAGACTGTTCATAATTTCAGCACCCTATCTGTCTCTCAGTTTTCAATCCCTTATTCTCTTTCCTCGCACCACCTTAAAATTCTCCACCTCCAGCTTAAGATTCTCCCTAAAACCTACCTCTTTGACCGAGCTCTCAGTTACCTATCTTCATGTCTGCTATGTTGTGTTGGCTGGTAGTGCTCTCAGGGTGGAAGGGGGGGGAGGTGGGTGGATGTGTTTGGGGACATTAAATATGCCATACAAGTGCAAGTGATTGCTATGGCCACAAGTTCCATGACATAGCTGCACTTTCTCTATTCATTTCAGTTCATTTTAGTGGTGAGAGTGAATAAACACTGCCAATGCTAGGTTGAAGGACTGGGCAAATCTGTTGAGCGAGTTGCCAAATAGTGAAAGACGTCATGTAATACAGGTGTATAATGCATAAATGTACTCTTTTGATCAGTAATTGTACTAAATAAGCATATTCATCCACAGAACTCAGACAAACGTTTACTATGTCTACTTTATAAAGGGATTGTTCTGAACCTTAGGATCAACTAGATTAATTGCAATGTTCTCTTCTTTCCTCAACATTCCTAATTGCCACTATAGGATGGATTTTATTCTATAGCTAGATTTTCTAGTATATAAAAATGTGGGAATATAAAAAATTAAGGATTTTGGTCCGGTTTGGAAATTACATTTTAACTCAGCACAGTATAAACGTTTTTGGAACCAGACATAAATAAACAAAAAGTATTGTCCTGGCTTAAATAGGCAAACGTTTTAGAGACATTGGCCCAGGTCTACCAGTCAGAGCTGACCCTAAGCACATTGACGCTGCCTACAAACTCAAACATTTAGTGTTTTTTTTTCAGCTGGCCTTCCGATCGCAGCTGCAGCATTGATGGGTCAGTGCATGAAGAGGAAGCATGCAAGAGACAACAGAAAGGAGACAGCCCCTCTCTACGACCATAGCTACTTTATTGAGGGTGGTTTTAAAAATCAACATGTTTCAGTAAGGGAGTGAGTTACTCAGTGGACGATTGGGTAAGGGAATGGTGACTTGGTTGGATTGAATAGCAAAGGTAGTCAGGTAGAGGAGTAGTCGGGTGTTGGTTAGGGGGTCAGTCACGTCAGATTAGGATATGATTGGGGTTTGGCTATGCTGACTAATCACAACTGAAACTAGGTATTAACCAGCATACCACCTCTCGGGTCAGTATGTAGTTAAGTCCCAAATATTTGGGCAGTTGTAATTAACGCACCGAAGCTTTAATTTTCTGGCCAATGGCCACATGTTAATGGTGTAATGGGGAAGGTTAACAGCAGAAAGGTCATCCAGCTGAATGACCACTCACCAAATCCAAACAAATTTATGGCATCAAGGTGACTCCAGTAACGTGCGTAAAGCTGAAAGAATAGAAGTTAATATAAAATGAATAGTCCAGCAGAGGTTGGAAACCATTTAACTTTTCTTATTCAGGATCTTGATGTAGTTCAACATCTGCTGCAAAGGTATGCCTTTTATTTATTTACTCATTCAATTATTGCCAGACAAATTTGTTGGAGACTACACCCCATATACAAAACTGGATGCAGCATTGGATGATTTCTACTTATAATGAAGACATAAAGAGTAACTTGTGTAAATCTGGGACAGTTCCAAATCTGAAATATACAATTCTGTTCTGGATCACAAGAGCATCCTAAATGTTATCAACATAGTCTGATACACTTGAAGATGCAAGAACAATCACAAGATTAGGTGTGGCACCAGCCAAATACACACATTGGATATGAAGCGTAAAAGAATCTCACAATTTTCTTCTTGAACTTTTAGTTTGAACTCACAACCAAAATTATCTTAGACATCTCACAAATCTCACCTTTTGTTTTTACACTACTCCTTTTACTTTGTACTTAATCCCTGACCATCGGCACTTTACTGATCTCTCGGTGTTCTTTCCTCCCCCTCTGCTTCCTTTGTTCCAAATGTGTTCATCTCTCATCTTTCAGTTTTTCCTAAAATTTATCAAGCTAAAAGGCACTGTTTCTCTCCCTCTCTGACTGAATGCTTCCAGTTGTTTCTATTTGTGTTTCAATTCACTTAGCAGAGCCCCAGTCAGAATCTGTTTCCTGTTTGCTCTGGAGGCAGAATCTGCCAGTGGTTGAAATCTGTACTTTTGCCATATTTGATGGCACAAATGTTTACACAGGTGGCTATGTATTCAGGTTTGATGCTAACACCCAGTGCATGTTGGTGCTGATCGATGAGTGTTTGCTGCAGCATGGCATGACACTATTAACATACTTATGTTACGACATCATCATTTCTCATGCTCCTGAGTCACGGCCCTATGTATAGAACAGCTTTAAGCCACATATCCAAACCTGGTCTGTAAGGTAGCATCACCATCAGCTGATCCTACCTGCACCAGATCATCCATGCGTCTGCATATTTCATAATGGTGAAAGGCACAACCTTGGCCAGCTTTTTCTTTTTGTAAGACATACATGCATAAATGAGTGAACTTTGTTAATTTTAGTTTATGAATATAAGACTCAGCTGGGCTATGGCTAAGGAGTAGCAAATTACTGCAGATGATGGAATCTGTACTGAAAACAAAAAAAAAATGCTGGAAATCACAGCGGGTCTGACAGCATCCATGGAGACAGAGAAAGCTAAAGCTTCAAGTCTAGACTTTGAGTCATCCAGACTTGAAATGTTAGTTTGCTCTCTCTCCATGGATGCTGCCTGACCAGCTGTGAGTTCCCGCATCTTTTGTTTTCAGTAGACTATGGCTAAGCTGTACCTCAACCTGCCTTTGCATCATATCCCCCGATACACTCAACAAATAATCTTTCAATCTCCGTGCTAAAAAGGTCCAAATGTTCAACAGTACCTGTAGCCTTACAAGGTGCAGACCGCAACCTGTTTTGAGAGAAGAGACTGTTTGCTTAATTGTATATTAAGCATTTAAAAAGAGCTATCAAAAACTGTTTTCAGGTTGTGAAGCCTTTAAAAGGTTAGAAAAGCAAAGAACATTTATATATACACACATTTATGTCTCTGCTCGCACTCCCACCCCAACACACTACTCTAGCATAAATCTGACATTAAATACTCAAACTGGTACATCATTGGCAAGACTAGCCCTTACTGTCTTGATGATGATGATGGTCACCTTGAATCTCTTCTTGTGGTTTAACACAACTGAACTAAACAAAATACAACTATTTTTGAGGTGGCAGGTCAGGGGAATTAAGGATCAACCACTTTTTTGGGTTAGACCAAATACGTGTCCTTTCCCAAGACAATACTGCACAAGTTCTGATGAAGTTCTTTTTCTGATGAAGGGTCGAGGCCCGAAACGTCAGCCTCTCTGCTCCTATGATGCTGCTTGGCCTGCTGTGTTCATCCAGCCCTGCACCTTGTTGTCTCGGATTCTCCAGCATCTGCAGTTCCTACTATCACTGCACAAGTTTAGTTTTCACAATGATCCAAAGGGTCATGGTCACTTTTACTAACATCAACTCTTTATTCACTGATTTTCCTAGACTTGATTCAAATTTCTCAATAGCCATACTGAGATTTGAACTCAAGTTCTCTGCACCATTAGACCAGTCATGGGATTTCTACTCTGCCATTACAAATTAAGTAAGAAAGTCAAATGGCTGTTAAGGCATCAATGAATTTGACACACGGTAAAACACCAAGTTGGCAACATTCTATTTTCAGTTAAAGTATTTGCAGGTTGCATGAGCATACACAGATAGACACATACCCACTTAATCATTCTAAACAACTCAACCTGACGCACTGGATAATCAGGTGAGAACTTTAATAGATTTACCCCTCCATATTCTCAGCCACACACAGCATAAACAGGAGATAATTCCTGAGAGTACAGCAGGTCACACAGCACCCAAGGAGCAGGGAAATCAATGTTTCAGGCCAAAACCCTTCATCCCGACGAAATGTCAACTTCTCTGCTCCTCAGATGCTGTCTGACCTGCTGTGCTTTTCCAGCTCCACATTTATTGACTCTAGCTTCCAGCATCTGCAGTCCTTACTAGGACTTTAAGGACTGCAGATAGTACCTGTAATATTTCTCGTACACTATGGCCCACTCCTTGCACTTCCTTTTACATTGTGTATGGTGGTGAAACATGCCTAAAACCCACTGTACAGATCATCACAGTATATTAAACACAGAGTTGCAGCCTTCAGCTTACAAGTTGAGTGAGTTGTTGCCTAAGTTTTAAGACATTTTTTCTGCACACATTACTAAAGTGTATCCATTTTATTGAAAACCCTGCTCTACACTTGGAATATATAGAAATTGTCCCTCTCCTTTAAATAATAAAGCAATTAAAGAACCACTTTGGACCAAAGAATGTCATCAGGTATTTTATTTAATATTTACACTTTCAATATTGCTCCACAGAAAATCACTTTTTTTTAAATACAGAATTCAACCTGGAATGTCTGTTTTCATTATTTAAAAGAATGAAAATAAACGCATCGCAGTAATGAATGAAAATTCACAACAGGAAGAAACCAACATTAGAATTCCAGGATGTTTCTGGCTGTTTGCAGCCAGGTTGAATTGTAAACAGAACAGTTTGACCTTCATTCAACTCCAGCAGGGGAGTCCCTTCTGATCTCCAGCACATGTCTTGTTATTTGCCTGATCCACATTGCGTAGGGAGAGGTGGTGTAAGAAGAATCTTGGCAGAAAGCACCACTGCATTCAGGTGCATGTGTTGCTTTGACCTGCATTTTCTACTGAGCAGAGAGATGGAAGGATGGCAACATAGAACTAAGACTCCAGAGTCCAAATCTCTTGATTTTAATCTTATTGGTTGTTCCCAATAGCTGCCACATACATTGGAATGTCTGGAAATAAGATGGTTTTCTTTCCTTGCCTTCAAAGGGGCCTGGGCCCTATGCAGACCACTCCCTTCAATACCTTTGGGCACATTTAGTCATTGGTATGCCATATTCTTGCTGCTAATTGCAGTTAATTGGTTAAAAAAAAAGTGCTGTAAAACTCAGCAATGGCTGGCATTTCTCACTACTGCATGCTTTTAGCATTTTTTTTTAAAACCTTCAGCTGCAAGAAACCACTTAGGATTAGAACATAAAGTTGCACCTCCATATAAAGTTAATTTGGCTACCTTTTGTTGTCTTTGTACTGTGTAAACAGGAATTTTCACCAGGGCCCCACTCCTGTGCTGCCCTTTTGCTGTGCAGAGTAATGATTACTGCTGCTCAACCATGTAAGGTGGCTAGGTAGAAATGAAAAGCCAGGCTGGTTTTTTTCCACTGATGGATCTCAAACACATACAAAGAAAAATGCTCAGAAAATGCAGCACTCTACCGGTCAGCAGTTGATTTGGAACAACACCAGCAGCATCCGAAGGAAGCAACATTGTCAAAGTAACAGTTTGTGGTGCAATGGTGCAGGAATCAACGAGCAGCGAGGGCGAAATGTGAGGAGATAAATTCTCCAGGTACAGACCGTAAAAAGGCACTATGGCCTCTAACCCATGTCCAGCTAGAAACACAGAGGGTCACTGGGACAGTCAATGTACTGAAACACCAAGCATATCCATACTGCTCAGCACTAGCTGAAAGGAGAATAAGAAATGGGGACTATGAAGTGGGGCAAGGGCCAAAAGCTGACAGCACATCTGTTACTGCTTATACACTGGAGCTCAATCCACTAATAGGCAAGCTTGAAACAGTCCCTCTGTTAAAACCCAGGTCAAATGGAATTTGTTCATGTAGGAATTCAAATGTTTTATGACGCATATAATCCAAACTCAGCATACAAGGAGAGTTCATTTGTCAAAAAGAAATAAGAACAACTTACTCTTGCATCAAATAACCTGCAATTAACTTACTTCTGGATTCAATCAATCAACCATATGATATAGCAAGGAAACTACACTGAGACAGGGGTATATGGTGATGCAGCATTTTCCTATGTATGCAAACAGTGTGCCAGGTTTTGCTGAAGCACATTGTCCTTTGTTCAATTCGCTAGTCCTGACTGAAGGATCAGCAGTGGAAACGACTGAAGTATAAAGAAAGTTGCAGGTAGCACGTCAGTTGATAAGTCCCTTTGGCATTGTGAGTTTTTCTTCGTTTTTGTTTTTGACTGTTGCAGTGCTCAGCACTTGTTCTGAGTTCAATCACAGTTAAAGTTTCTCATCTACTTCTGAAGAGTGCACAATCTAGGCAGAAAGATCCACTTGGGGCTCTCACTGTCCTTGCCTCTTAGAGAGATATCTGCAGATGGAAAAGACAGAATCATCAATCAAAATGTGTAATTGTGCAGTTGGCTGGAGAGCAACATTGATGGCATCAATATGCTGGGAGTTACCAGTGACCTGAAATTGAACTGAACCAGTTATGTAAATACTGTAGCTATAACAGCAGGTCAAAGGCTCGGAATCCTGTGTAAAGTTAATGACCTCCTGTCTCCCCAAAGCCTGTCTGCCATCTATAAGGCACAAAGTCAGGGATATGATGGAAAACTCTCCACGTGCCTGGATGAATGCAGCTCCAACAACTCTCAAGAAGCTTGTTAGCATCCAGGACAAAACAGCCCACTTGATTGGCACCAAGTACACTACTTTCAACACTCTCTCCCTTCACCACTGACAAACAATGGCAGCAGTATGCATCATCTACAAGATGAGCAGCAGCCCAAGGTTCCTCCAATAGGAACTTCCAAACTGCTACCTCTACCACGGAGAAAGATAAGAGAAACTGATACACAGGAACACATACTACATGTTCCCCTCCAAGGGATGCACTATCCTGACTTGAGACTATATAGCCAATACTTCATTTTTCACTGGCTGTTGATTCTGGAAGCCCCTTTCTAATAATGTGCTGCCACGCCCAAAGAACTGTAAAAGTTCAAGATGCCAGTTTGCCATCACCTTCTCTACATTAATTAAGGATGGGTGATAAATGCTGGCCTAACCAGTAATCCATGAACAAATATTTTTTTAAAAAATCAACAATCAGTAGAACTAATCTAGAGTTCCATGAATATAAAAATGTAGCCTCGGGATATATTCCAGTGTACATCACAACACAACTGAAGTCTCATTTCCTGCAGCAGGAATGTAACAATGATTTACATGTTTGTAAGGCTGAGTTTACCACAGTGGCAAGTAGCAATTTTGGCAATGGATCAACAGTTTAGAACCAAGTAGACCAAGGCTCACTTTCAACATTAACAATACTAACCATTGCAGTAACATTTCTCGACTTCAGTATAAAATTAATGCATAATAAATTAATGCAACGGCAGTGGAGGAAGTATAGACTGAAACCCAATGCATTTGAGATCATTTCAAGGGATATTAGCCCTCAGGAATGATTTGAAAAACCCAATGCCAAGGGCAATTCCTTCTGCTCTATCTCCACTGTGCCTCAGCCCAATTTATAAAAGAGCATTTCCTTGCCAAACCCCACTCCACCATATGCACTACCACATAATAACATACATTTTCGGTGTCCCCTTGAGATTTCTAATGAATGGGAATCAAGAGTCTGTTTTGGACTATACTGTGCTCCTGTGCACATGAACCCAAGGATGTGTGCTCAGCACCCCAACCACTGTACTCCCTGTACACCCACAACTGTGTTACCAAACTCTGAACAAATGCCATCTGCAAATTCGCCAATAACGCCACTGTACTAGCACGGATATCTAATAAAAAGTCACAATACAGAAGGGAGATAGAGGGCTTGGTGACATGGTGCAATGAGAACAACCTCTCTCTTAATGCTGGCAAAACTAAAGAACTGATCATTGACTTCAGAAAGAAAGGAGGACAACACTCTCTCTTCTACATCAATGGAACAGAGGTTGAGAGGGTGGAGAACATCAAGTCCCTCCAAATGACATAAGCCAACAACCTGTCCTGGACTTCCCATGTAGATGTGACAGTCAATAAGGCATAACAATGCCTCTTCTTCCTCAGGTGGCTCAGGAAATTTGGTACGTCTCTAAGGACCTTCACCAATTTCCACAAATGCACAATTGAAAGCATACTGTCCGGGTGCATAACGGCCTGGTATGGCAACTGCTCTGCTCAGGGCCATAAGAAACTACAGAAGGTGGTGTGCACAGCTCAAACCATCACGGAAGCCAACCTTCCATCCATGGACTCCATTTACACGGCTGCGGAAAGGCTGCCAACATCAAGGACTGATTGCACCCTAGTAATGACCTCCTACAACCTCTTCTGTCAGGCAGAAGATATAGCAGGTTCAGGAACAGTTTCTTTCCAGCCATATTACACTGATGAATGGACTCTGTAGCCTCAAATAATGCTGATCTTGCTTTTTGATCTGTACATCCTTACTTAGTATAATCTGCCTGTACTGCTCGTAAACAAAGCTTTTCACCGTACTTCAGTACGCCTGACAATAAATCGATCAATAAACATTGGGAATGTGTTGGAGATGGCCCTAATGTTTAAATCTATCAGCCACACAAGATGTTGATTCCATTATTCTCAGTCAGAAGTGAAAAACAGCACCATACTATATAGTCAGGAAGTCATCATCTGGCACTCTGATCTCTCAATAGCCCCACATTTCATCTTTAGATAGCGATCCAGTTTTCAGGTAATAAATTCCAAACCCTAACAATTTACTGAGCAAATATACAGCACCAATTACACCCAGAGACACTGCACAGAGGAATAATAACAGAAGTCTCAGGAATGGTGGCTGAAAACACTTTTGAAGATAGAGGTTTTGAGCATATTTTTAAAAGATGAGAAGTATGAACCCAATTGGCGGGTTTGAAGGCAGAGGCTCAGTAGAAGGGCAGAAGGCAGAAATAACAATGAAATAAACAGTAAATACCTCTTTCCACGGAACCATTTTGTGAAGTGGCAGAGTTGGAAGTCTGCTTTAAGTACATACACAAGTCGCCAAACCAGGAAAACATCTGCACCATTGATATTTTTTGTTGACAGTTGAATCATGGCCCTGGCTATTTTACAGCATACAAAGTCGGAGGCAGCAAATACCGTTACCTTTCCCAGTGTTTATGATTGAGGTCTGTGAAGTCATCTAGCTTGCCGATCTCCTTCAGGTACTGGGACAGTTTCAGCAGCTCCCTGTCTTTATCTCGGTTGAGATGAGCCTTCATGAAGGGTCTGATCTGGTAACAAAAAGGAATATGACACACATTACATTCAGACCTTGACATTTGGTGTCCACATCGAGCAATAAACCCCCACTGTTAAATGCAGATTTTCTGCTCTCTCAAAGTTCATGGTTGATCGGTACTAGCTGCCAGAAGATCAAAAGCCAATCAGAATAAAAGGACCCAGGTTCAACACAGTTGATCACATTCGGAACAGTAATTGGAACATTACAGGACTAAGGGTTCTAACTATTAATTACAACCAAATCTCTCCTACATTATATACACAGATGAGTCGAATTTGGATAGGAAGTGGTGATGCTCCGTGTTGCTATCCTTCTTAATCAATTGACCTGTTGTCCAGGTTCATGCACTAACAGTGAATTCTTGGACAAGATATCAAACCTCACAAGGTGCTGCACCCACCATCTGCAGCAAAGGAACATTAAACCAAAGCAAGTTAGCACAGAAAATGAACCAATCTTTTTCCCAAAGTATTTAGCACTCGGAGTTACACCACATGAATGGTAATTTGATCAACAGAAAGTTGAGTCTGCTTCACAGTAGCACATACTTCCTTAATACAGAACAAATTTTCAGCATTAGAAATCAAAACAATCTTGGTGTCATCACAGGGATCTGCACAATGTTTTAAAGGTAAGAGTTCAGAATACTGCAAATGGAGACAGAAAGGTACTGCGTTTGGCAGGGTAAGGACATTGGTGCATTTCGTCCTCAAAAATAAAAGCAAAGTTACGAAGGTGAATTAATTCTTCTATCTGGTATTTTTAATTAACGCATGGAGAAAAGGGGGTGGGGCAGGGCGGGGCAGAGCATGATGGCTCAGTGGTTAGCACTGCCGCCTCACAGCACCAGGGATCTGGGTTTGATTCCACCCTCAGGCGACTGTCTGTGTGAAGTTTGCATGTTCTCTCCGTGTCTGCGTGGGTTTCCTCCGGGTGCTCTGGTTTCCTCCCACAGTTCAAAGACGTGCAGGTTAAGTGGATTGGGCACGATAAATTGCCCATAGTTTCCAGGGATTAGCCATGGAAAATGCAGGGTTATAGGGATAATGAAGTGGGGTGGGTCTAGGTGGGATGATCTTCAAGGGTTGGTGTAGACTCTATGGGCCACATGGCCTGCTTCCACACTGTAGGGATTCGATGAAACATTTTTCTTTTTGAAAAAGAAAAGTTGCTTTATCCCAATTGAAATCTTTGGGAATTTATTTCTTTGTCAGCACAACAGATAACACATTCTAAAGAAAGTTAAAATACCATGGATGAAGGAGATCTGAAATAAACCCAAAGTGCCAGAACAACTCAATGGTTCTGGCAGCATCAGTGGAGTAAGAAACACAGTTAACATTTCAAGCCCAGTAAGACTCTTCTTCGGAACACAGAAGTTCTCAAGAACAGTCATGTTTGACTTGGGATCTTAACTGTTTCTTTCTTCACTAAAGTGGGCAGACCTATTGAGTAGTTCCAGCACTTTTTTTTTCACATTCTAAAAAATTAGTTCAGGCTTTTAGCAATTTTGACAATGTTTTAAAGATACGGTAAAAACACTGACAAAACTAGTATTTTTCTATCTGCACCACTGCAAATAAGATTGAAAGCAAGCACAGAGACTGCAAGTTCGAAACTGGTGGTTGGGAGTAGTGTGTAATAGCTGCCTCTGATCCATTCTCTCCTTAATCCCTGTGGGGAAGCACCTGCCATTCCTACACAATAGCTTACCTAGGATAGGAACGCAGCCTGTGAGGAGACAGTGACACAGAAACTCAGGCTATTCAAATGTGACAATTATTGGGTGAGTCTGGTTTGTTGAGTGGCAAGTGGAGAATAGCTAACACACCTCTTGTTTAAGTCCATTTGAAACAGGCTAAATAGACCAGCAGGACTTTTCCTGTCCATTATAAAATTATCCAGTGGTGTAGCAAACATGCCACACAAACTCCAACCAATATGCCAAGAGGAGTAATCTTTGAACTAATTGAATGTGATCATAATTGAATGTTTGCCCATTGCAAATTACAAAGTTTAACAAAAGCTTTCATCGTTACAAGCTCAAAAAGCATTGGTATTAAATCTACACACTCACATGTAGGTAGACGTAGGGTAACATCAATGGCTGTTGCATCAATTCAATATAATATTAATTACTATTAATTCTAACATTAATGGTGCCTGCAGGAAATGTAAATTCGTAACAGATAGTACACTGAATCCAGAGCTTATGCTGGAGCATGGAAGAACAGCCTTTACCTTTAGCCCATTTTGTGGATTCATCAGAAAGTTTCGACCAATGTCATCAAACATTATTGTATTCTTTCTGGTGTAGAACTCCGGAAATTTATCCCATATGACACCCAGTGGTTTAACCTGTGAACAGAACCTTGGTGAAATATCATCCAAAAACCATGGAACCATATTTGAATTTAGATCGTTGTGGAGGAAAAACAGGGGGAAAGCAATCTTAATCGATTCAGCCACTATACTTGGACTCCAAATATCAGTAGAAAGTAGCTTCCAGATCTATTGCGTTCATGTGGAACAACAGCCCAGCTTAAGAAAAGCTGAATAGTGGAACGAGTCTGGTTCCGTCTGGAGGTTTTGCCATCAGTTTGTAATCCCACAGCATAAAACTGCTAACAGTTCAGCATGAATTAGTAGTGACGCACAGAGAAGCTGCAGAATAGTTAGTGCCCAAAGTATAACTAAGTGCGACAAACGATGTAGAGTGGGTGCTAAAGCACTTTGTTTTAGTAAGCATTTCCTATGAAATATTGTAGAGATAGGTAAACTGTAAAATCCTTCACTCTTTTTGTTTTGTCCCCTCAACAGTGTAAAAGATCCTTACTCTGAATTTATTTTAGGCTCTATTCAACCAGCAAATACTTGCTCAAAAATGTACAAGGAACTTTTCTCTGCATATAACTTGGACTGTCCTTACCATTTCAGTACTGGCACTTTCCATCTGTCCTCACCATAAAGGATACAAGTAACATCCCAGAAGCAATAACAAATCAGGGAATAGAACTGAGGCAACTACTTGGAAAATCACAATTGCCAGAGTAGTGGTACAGAATAAATTGTTAGAACTGCAGGCTGACAAATGCCCAGATCCTGATGGACTTCACGCTTGGATCTTAAAAGCGACTTATGAGATAGTTGATGATTGTTTTTAATTTTCCAAAACATCCCTTCATAAGGAGATGGTCCTGTTACTCTGGAAGATAGTGAATGTATCTTTTATTCAAAAATGGGAGAGAGACAGAAAGTAGGAAAGTGCAGGGCAGCTAGTTTAACACCTAGCCTAAGGAAAACGTTCGAAGCCATCACTAAAGTTGTAACGGGGCATTTGGATAAACTAAAGGCAATCAGAGAGTCAACTTGGTTCTGTGATTGAGAAACCAGTGATGTACTGTTTGACTTCCAGATAGTATTTGATAAGGTGTCACATCAAAACTTATTACAGAAAACAAAAAGGGCAGCATACTGCCAGAAGATTGCCTAAAAGATGGAGAATAGGGGAAAAATTGGTCTTTTTCAAGCTAGCAAGATATAGCAAGTGGTGTGCCACAGGATCAGTGCTGGGCGTCAAATGCTTACAATTTGAGTAAACGACTTAGTTGAAGGGAAGGAAGGTATGGTTGCCACATTTGCTGACAAAACAAAGTAGGTTGTGAAGCGGACACAAGGAGGTTACAAAAAGATGCTGATAGTTAAGTTATTGATATTAAGTGACTGGGCAAAGACGGAGTATAAGATGGGAAACTGTGAAATTTCCATTTTGGCAGGAAGAATTTAAAAGAAGCATATTATCTAACGGTGAGAGATTGCAGGGGAATCTGGGTATCTTTTTGGATGAATTGCAAAAGGTCAGTATGCAGGTACAGCAAGTAATTAGGAAAGCTTGTAGAATGTTAACATCTATCATGACAGCAATTTAATACAAAAGTAAATTGGTGTTCCTTCAGTTTTACAGGGCACTGGTGAGACTCTTCGTGGAATACCGTGCACAGTATTGGCACTTGAAGGAATGGTTTAAATGCATTGGAGGCCGTTCAGCGATTTACTAGACTAATCCTATTTTATGAAGGAGGTTGGGTAAGTTAGACTTGTACCCATTTAGTAGATTAAGACTCAATATAATTTATACATATAAAATCCTGAGGAGTCTTCACAGGGTAGATGTGGAGAGGGCATCTCCTCTTAGGAGTCACTGTTTAAAAATCAGGTGTCACCTAATTAGAAATTAGGCAAAAAAAATCCTCTCAGACAGTCACAAATCATTGGAACTCTGCCACAGAAAGGCAGGGGAAACAGAGTCCTTGACTATTTTCAATGTTGAGGGAAAATCGATTCTTGTTAAGCAAGGGGTTGAAATATTATCAGGCTAGGCAAGAATGTGGATTCGAGGTTACATTCAGATCAGCCATGACGGTATTGAATGACGGAGCACACTTGATGGGGTGTATTGCATACTTTTGCTGCTTATTTATATGTTCATGTGTGTTAACTGGGATAACATGCACTTACTCCACAAAGTCAAGTGATGAAGAATAAGAACTAGAGTCAGTCTTCACAGACTTGCATAGAAAGTATTTATTGACAACAGTGCACATTACAAACAAGCAACTCTTAGACCAACAACCTCAGTGATTCACAACGCAAATTTGGGGAATAACACCTTATCTTCCAACTGGGCACCCTACAGCCCAGAGGACTCAACGTGGAGTTCTCTAATTTCAAATAACCTTTCCACCCATCCCCTGGCTCGCTTTCCAGCCTGCCTCCTCCCTTCCATTCCACCTACTGACCCTCCCTTTCAGCTACCAAATGGATTCATCCGTAAGACCACAAGACATGGGAGCTGAAATTAGGCCATTTAGCCCATCAAGTCTACTCTGCCATTCCATCATGGCTGGTAAGTTTCTCAACTCTATTCTCCCGCTTTCTCCCTGTAACCCTTGATCCCCTTGACAATCAAGAACCTACCCGTCTTCGTCTTAAATATACTCAATGACTTGGCCTCCACAGCCTCCTGTGGCAGTGAATTCCATAGATTCACCACTCTCTGGCTGAAGAAGTTTCTCCTTATCTCCATTCTAAAGGGTCTTCCCTTTACTCTAAGGCTGTGGCCTTGGGTCCTAGCCTCTCCTACCAATGGAAACATCTTCCCAACATCCGCTCTGTCCAGGCCATTCAGAATTCTGTAAGTTTCAATTAGATCCCTCCTCGTCCTTCTAAACTCCATTGAATATAGACTCAGAGTCCTCAAACATTCCTCATATGTTAAGCTTTTCATTCCTGAGACCATTCTTATGAACCCACTCCAGGTCCAGTACATCTTTCCTGAGATATGGGGCCCAAAGCTGCACACAATAGTCCAAATGTGGCCTGAGCAGAGCCTTCTAGAGCCTCAGAAGTACATCTGAATGTAAAATTAAGACTCTCAAAATAAATGCCAAAGTTGCATTTGCCTTCCTAACAACTGACTCAACCTGCAAGTTTACCTTGAGAGAATCCTCAACTAGAACTCCCAAGTCTCTTTGCACTTCAGACTTCTGAATTTTCTCCGCATTTAGAAAATAGTCCATGCTTCTAACCTTCTTACCAAAGTGCATGACCTCACACTTTCCCACGTTGTACTCTATCTGCCACTTCTTTGCCCACTCTCCTAACCTGTCCAAATCCTTCTGCAGCCTCCCCACATCCTCAATATTACCTTTCCCTCTACCTATCTTTGTATTGTCTGCAAACTTCACCAGAACGCCCTCAGTTCCTTCATTTACATCATTAATGTATAAAGCGAAAAGTTGTGGTCCCAACACTGACCCTTGTGGAACACTACTTGTCACCGGCTGCCCTCCTGAGAAGGACCCTTTTATCCCCCACTCTCTGCTTTCTGCCAGACAGCCAATCTTCTATCCATGCTAGCACCTTGCCTCTAACACCATGGGCCCTTATCTTACTCAGCAGCCTCCTGTGCGGCACCTTGTCAAAGGCCTTCTTGAAATCCAGGTAGATAACATCCATTGGCTATCCTTGATCTGACCTGCTCGTTACATCCTCAAAGAATTCTAACAGATTTGTCAGGCATAACCTCCTCTTGATGAAGCCATGCTGACTTTGTCCTATTTTACCATGCACTTCCAAGTATTCAGAAATCTCATCCTTCACAATGGACTCCAAAATCTTACTCACGACCAAAGTTAGGCTAATCGGCCTGTAATTTTCAGTCTTTTGCCTTGCTCCCTTTTTAAACGGGGGTGTCACATTAGTGGTTTTCCACTCCTGTGGGACCCTCCCTGACTTAGCGATTCCTGAAAGATCACCACTAACGCCTCCAATATCTCTTCAGCTATCTCCTTAAGAACTCTGGGGTGTAGTCCAACTGGTCCTGGTGATTTATCCACCTTCAGGCCATTCAGTTTTTCTAGCACCTACTCCTTGGCGATGGCAAACATACTCAGCTCTGCCTCCTGACCCATCCCTTCCATCGACCAACCGGGTCATACCTACTACCAGTGTCCACCTATCACCACCATTCTGCTACCACACCCCCACAATACCCGAAACACTTCCTTTTCCTTTCCTCCAGATGGTACCTGGCTTGCTGTGTTCTTCCAGCCTTCTGCTTGTCAACCTCATATTCACCCTGTTCCTACAGATAGGGGCACTGTCACAGAATCCTTACAACAGAGAACTAGCAAATTCCCAATAGTTGGCCACTACTTGCATTTAATTAGATATACAATTAACATTGCACAGAGGTTAAATGCAGACTAAAGTACACATCTCATACCTGACCTAGCTGTGCATAATAATGATGAGGTGCCTGAAACAGAAAGCATCAGATTCTTGAGCACCAACATCCGTTACCTCAATTAACAAAAAAAATCAGAAACGTTTTCCGAAATGAAGTCTTTAATTGGATGGAAATTACATTCCGGGTTCTGTAACTGGCTGGTAATTCCTTATCAGCACTTACACTGGGATGCAAAAGCAGCACTGATTATGTTAAAAGCTATTTTCACACATACCTCCACCACCCCTCTCTTAGGTGTATGCACCGTAATCATAGCTGCACTATCCAACATGAAGGTGATCTTATAGTTAGCATGCGTTGTAACTCCTAGTTCCTGAAAGAATGAGAGAAAAAACAAAGTTCAACTGAGAAAATTACAATAATGGAAAAATCACATAAAATACAACGTAAAAACTCAATTTTGGAGTACCAATGCACCACTCTTGGGATGCCTATTAAATTCCAGTACTTTGCAATTATTTTCCTATTTTACAGAAGTAA